ACATTAGGAAAAGTTTAAATCTTGATTTGATGAAACTATTTATTCGTGGAATTTAGAGATACAAAACTCAAATTGTGACGGTGTTGTTGCTAAATTATTAAGGACATTATCACCATTATTTTTCCCTGATCACTAGTTTCAACTGCAATGATCTCAATCTTTTTGTGACTAATTCTTTCCTTAATAATTTATAAAGACAAAACTCACAAAGAATATGTGACTAATTCTTTCCTTTCGTCTTCTAAAGAAAATGCCAACTGTTAGTTTATCAAGGGGAAAAAGGATCGACATCAGTTATTATTGAAACTAGTAAGGAATAAATAATGGTGATAATGTCCTTAATAATTTAACAACAGCACCATCAGAATTTGACTTTGAGCTTCGGTCTTAAACAATGATCACAAACTACAGCATCCTTTGAGTTGAAAAAGGAAGTAGGTGAAAAGAAAAGTAAAAAATACAATTAGCATTCCCTCAAATTGTAGAAAGTTAGGTAGCATTATAGACAAGTTGATAGCGGCAATTTTACATTTCAAACTTCACCTATTCAATAACTAATTCGATGGCTTGCTACATGGTCAATCTTTGGACCCCTTCCTGCCTCCAGATATCCCTTTCCTCAATCAGGGGCTTCTACAATTACCAGTTTCAATTGTATGGTATAGTGTAAATATCAACAAATTAGATGTAGATGCTAACATAATAAATGTGAATGCTAAGACAGCAACATACAATCGAACCTGCAATTGTATGAACCCCAATCTCGCTTCCTAGTCCACCATCTTTCTCTAGGTAATAATCTCCCTTCTAATTTATTCACAAAATGCACCTTTCATCACCTCCAATAGCGTCGACATGATCTTTACCCTAGAAGACTATTCACCGACTCTCAATTGACGTCAGAAAATCTAAGAGTAATTCTACTTTACCCTAAGATTGATATCAACAAGACAAGGACAATTTAGAATTATTACACGCCTCTTCTTAATAGGAAAAAGAAATAGAGAAGAAAGTCAGGCCAGGTCTAATTTCTTTTCAAAGGCAATACAACATTACGAAATCAAGCATTCATTCATACAAATATTTCATAGTCACCGGTTTGCTGAGTAGAAAAATTTAGACAAAAACTTAATATTATATTGTTTAAGAGTTAACAATTTAGAGCTTAATCTCCTTGTACTTTGGAGTTAACAATTTAGAGCTTAATCTCCTTGTACTTTGGACTAAACTTGAACGTGAAAGGAAATCCCAAAACCATATTGGGCATGAATTCACACTTAATATACCCAATAAAAGATGGCGACTGGTGAAAGGCAGTGGAGACTGGTGGAGAGATTTGAGGAATAGAAGCAGACGGAAAAGCAACAAATTTTTGCCGAAAAACGGTCACTTTCATGGTTAATTTTGCTACTCTCCAATTGTACTTGACCAATTACAACAATTTCATGGAGTTTGATACGTGAAAAGAATTTTTTATAAATTTTATTTTGATCCATAATGTTATCTTTACATATATAAAACATTTTACAATTTTGATTTTGGCGCAGCTAACTTTTGGTTAACAAAAATGCTCATGTTTAAAAAACCAGAAATAAAACAAAACAAGAAACAAAAGAAATAAGAGGGTAGCATAGACATTTTGGATTTTTCCGTTAATTTGGATGATTTCCACCCACGTTCTAATTTAATCCAAAACACAAAGGAATTACGTAGAGGTTTTAAATAATCAGGGAGCTTCATGATCGAACCCCAAACCACGTGATAGCATACAAGAGTTCTATTTCACTATCGGTAGACAAAGACTTTCTATGGTTGATGTACCGTAGGAAAAAATCTGCCTATACAACGTGATAGCATTTTTTCAAAAACACAAGATGGAAAATTGCCCCCTTAAACGTGGAAATTCATGATCTTTCCTCGAACAAAGAATACTCACGCCTATTCAAGATGGAAAATTGCCCCCTTAAACGTCTATTTGTCAATTCTTGAAAAAAGAATACTCACGCCTAAAACACGGCCTCTTCATCTGCAGAATTCTAAAAAGTTACGTAAACTCTATAAACAAGTTGATAGGTACAATCGTACCCAAGATCAAGTACAGATAGTTGTACATTCACTGCTGCAATAACTAATCTGATGACTTACAAACATATCATGGTCAATCGTTGAATGGTAATGAGTCTTTTGTTATGCATTAGTATTAGTGTGTACACTCTAATAGATTGATACTTATACTCTTTAAATTATCATAATAATACCCTTAATTAACTTTAACTCTTAAAAAGAATACGTGTTAATACACGAGAGTGTGTAACCTGAATTGTTACTTATACATTAGTGTGTAATAGATAGGGATGGCAGTGAGGGCGAGTGCCCGCGGGGGGCTCTCGGGGCGGGGGCGGGGGAGAATTTTTTCCCCCCGTTTAGAAACGGGGCAGGGGACGGGGGAGTATACCCCCGCCCCATCCCCCGCCCCGCCACCCGCAAAAAAAATTATATATATATAATTATATATAATATGTAATTTAATTAGTTATAAACTTATGATAATGATATTATTAGTTAGATGTATTATATAATGTATATTAGTGTATGTAATATAATTAATATTATCAATTATACGAATAATTAGACATGTCCACTAATAGAGTTTATTAATTAGTTATACTAAATTTACTAATACATTTGTACTAAATTTCTAATTACACTTAATAGAATAACACTTTTTTCTAAAAAAAAAAGCACAAACACAATAATGAATTAGTGATTGTATTTGTACCAAAAGTGAAAACTTAACTATTTTAGTTGTATTTATTTCATCATGTTGGATTGTATTCAAATAATTTTTGTTTGATTGTTTTTATGAGTTTCAATTGTAAAATTAAAATGAATAATAACTTGATGATGTGTTGATATTTTAGTACTTGATTATTTATTGATTTAACTATAATAAAATTTTATTTTATTAAAATTTAACTATAATAAAATTTTATTAACCAAACGAGTTATTAATCCCGCGGGGGCACCCACGGGGGAAGCGGGGCGGGGCGGGGGAGTGGGAGGCGGGGGACGGGGCGGGGGTGGGGGGAGTTGTAGGTAGCGGGGCGGGGGATGGGGGAGGGGTCCCCCGCCCCAACCCCGCCATCCCCCGCCCCGTTGCCATCCCTAGTAATAGACTGGCAAGCATTGTGGTGGTCATTGAGAACTTACTGGAGAAATAGTCCTATAAGCTGTTCAATGAGCAATCACAACTTGCTAATTGGATGACTAATATAGCTCTAGCTGTAATGTTTTAATTAAATTACATCACTAACGTTGGGATGACTTTTTAACCAAAAAAAAATGCCTTAGTTCAAGCTTTTCCCTTTATTGTGCATTTTTTAAAGCATTTGATAGGCACTGCAAATCTGTCATTTTGGACATTTTATTATTGACTAACAATGAAAGCCGTGACGTCTACCCATAACCAACACAAGATTAAATTAATATTAGAAAAAATAATTGAGTAATTGGAAAAAAAAAAAGAGACTCATTTTCATTGAAACCCACCGACAAACTAAACGTGTCCATGGCTTTTGAATAGTGCATTCAACGTTTAATTGTATAGTCCAGTTCATTGCAGATTACATGGAGTAAAGATTGTGCTCTTTCCTTTTTCACCCCTTTTGGAATCGATACTGTGGAGAATTGGGTTTTTCCCTTCTTTTTTTCTTTTCTTTCCTTCTGTGCTTTGCAAAACATAGGTAAAAATATGAAATCCGAAGCATTCTTTAATTGGGATTAAGTATTGTTGTTGAAATTAAAAAGAAAAAAGAAAGAACAACAAAATTCCCAATCTGGGTTGATTGTTGAGCTCTAGATTGGTTGCATCGTGCTTCCATAGAAGCTCTCTTAGTGTGATACACTGCTTTCAATCAGTTTAACACGGGAAAAAAAAAAAAAGAGATGAAAAGCAAATTTGGTGGGGATAATTTCAGAAACCTCCCCTGAAGATTTTGACTATTCTACTGGTCTCCCTTCAGATTTTAAAAATTACACTAATCTTCCTTGAAGTTAATTATCTTGTAACATTTAAATTCAATCAATAATTTAAAAAATGATATTATGAGAGAGAAAATAATGATTTTATCATTGCCCCCCATCTTACTACATTATTTAATTAATTTAATAGCAACCCACACATTAAAGAAAAATATTAAAATTTGTTGTTTATCATTAAAGATCAAATCGCTTATAACATCAAATAATAGTATATTATTTATATTTTTCACTCAATATAATATCCAAATTACTCTTTTCAATTACATACCCATTGTTAGACAATCAACAACAAATAACCAAAAAATTTGCAACCAAAATATTACAAAAAAATAAACTTTAACATATAAATATTCTTATCAACATATTAAAGTTAGTTACTGAAATTTTTATGCTGTTAAACTTCACTCTTTTTGGTTACAGATTTTTTTGATTATTTGTTATTAATTATGTTTGATGATGGATTTATAATTGAAAAGAACAATTTGAAACTTACATTAAGTAAAATATATAGAGTGATATACTATTTTTTATAACATATGTGATTCAATCCTTCTTGATAGGATTGGTAATAGAGGTAGAGGGGGGAGCCGGCTGCATCCGGTCTACTTTTCATAGATAGTACAATATTGCGAAATCGATCGCATTCACGCAATATTATTTCCAAGTCATTGCATGGCTAAGCTGCAAAAAAAGTACGAACACATGTTATTATATAGCTTACGATTCAAAACTTTAGAGCATAACCCTCCACCTAACACAATTGAATAATGAACATTCACGTTTGTCAAATCTGTCAAAGCACAGTTTGAGGACAACCCATTCCAACCTGCAAAAGATTTTTTACTTTTCTAAAGTTGTTGAGAGCTGTAAAAAGACTTACCATGCTTGCATCCTCCGAGCCTTGGGAGTTAAAAATGAAGGCACTGAGTGCTATAAAAAGGGGAATAGAGGCTGCCTAGAAGCATATCAGCCTAAAACAAGAATTTGTAGTTAAGATGGGAAGCAAAGCAAAAGCAATGGGGTCTGGGCTGACTCCTCTTCTTGCCACTGTTTTAGTGGTGTTTGTTGCTCTTGGCTTGCCCTCACAAACTGCAGCTGATGATCACTACAAGTATTCATCTCCTCCTCCTCCTTACCACTATCCCTCACCACCACCACCAGTGCATATACCTCCACCTCATCCTGTTTACAAGTACAAATCTCCACCACACCCCCAGTACAAGTATAAGTCACCACCACCACCTCCTCATCCGGTATACAGTCTCCTCCGCCACCACACACCCAGTTTACAAGTACAAGTCACCACCACCACCTCCTCATCCGGTACCACACCCAGTTTACAAGTATAAGTCTCCTCCGCCACCAGTTTACAAATACAAGTCTCCTCCACCACCACCTCCAGTGTACAAATACAAGTCTCCACCACCACCAGTTTACCACTACAAGTCTCCACCACAGTTTACAAATACAAGTCTCCACCACCACCCCCAGTTTACAAATACAAGTCTCCACCACCACCAGTTTACCACTACAAGTCACCACCACCTCCTCCCCCAGTTTACAAATACAAGTCTCCACCACCTCCTCACCACTACTAAGCAATTGCTTCTGAGGTAATAACACTTGTTCAATATACCCACTTCTGCATGATAAAGCATATCTCTATCAACACAAACTGTCATGTCTATCATGCTAAGTGCCTTCACTTCATCCACCAAAATGACTGCTAGAAAATTTTTTTTATGTTACCAAAGAAAGGCATCATTTTTTCCCTCTGTTATCAAGAACTTGTACAGTATATAGATTAAAGAGTATTTTTTTAACTAGCTTATCAACTGAGAAATGCATATAGCTGATAGCCAGCTGAATATTTGCAGGCAAAGGAGAAGGAAACCAGTGTTTGAGACCTTCTTGAAGATGTAGAAGCATAAGAATTAAAGCCCAATGTGAAGATGATGATTTCAAGTTTTTCTACGTTACCATTTCTTTATCTAAATTGGTTGTAGCGCCTTAGTTCCTTTGTTTATGGGATTTGTATCGTTTTACGTACCATGCAGTACATGTCATGTTTGTAAGGTTTTCTATCCTGCCGGCAAACCGCAGGTTCCATGTAATAAATCAATACTATTTATATTACGACACTTTTCTCTGTTTCTCTTATATTTTGTCGTCTTTAATATTCTTAATCATATTTTTAACAAAAATATTCAAACACTTAGGCAATCTGGTCTAATGCTAATTGTATGTTTTACTTTTCTTTTTCACCTGCTCCCCTTTTCAACTCAAAAGGATGCAATAGTTTGTGATCACTGTTTAAGACGGAAGCATGATACTAATGAATATCTCATTGAAACTCAAGGAAACTAACATTGCGAAAAGTGTAAATCTTGATTTGATGCAACTATTTATTCGTGGAATCTATAGTTACAAAACTCAAATTCTGACTGCGCCATTGATAAATTATTAATGACGCTATCATCATTATTTATCCCTAACTAGTTTCGACTACAACTGAACCCAATATTTTCCCCATGATAAAAGTTTTTGACTATTTTACTGGCCTCTCTTCAAATTTTAAAAATTACACTAATCTTCATTGAGATTAATTATCTTGTAACATTTAAGTCCAATTAATAATTAAAAAATGATATTATGAGAGAGAAAATAATATAATTTTATCATTGCCCCCCATCTTGCTATATTATTTAATTAATTTAATAGCAACCCACACATTAAAGAAAAATACTAAAATTTGCTGCTTTTCATTAAAGATCAAATTGCATATGCCATAAAACATAGTATATCATTCTATATGTTTCACTTAATGTAAGATCCCAATTGTTCTTTTCAATTACAAACCCATTGTCAATAACAAATAACCAAAAAATTTGCAACCAAAATATTACAAAAAAAAACTTCAACATCATAAATATTCTTACCACCTCTAGTGCATTCACCCTCATAAAATAATTCAAGACCCTACTGTCATAAAATGACTGATCAACTCCCGTAAACCTAATTTGACAACATTTAAATGGAGAACTTTAGCTAAAAGAATTATGGTCAAGCTAAAGAAAAAACCAGTTATTTTCCAACATATGCAATCATTGATCAGGGAAAAAAAAAAGAGCAAAAAGACATCTTCAATCATTTAATAGCTTACAGGGCAAATTAACCCCTAAGCGAAAACTGGTTGCTCTAGAATCAAAATTTTACTTTAGTTACCCAGGCAACTTTTTTGTTGCTTTTTTTTTTTTTTTCCTTTAGTTTTGCCCCCTCTGTCAAGCTTATAAAATTATTAAGATAATAAAAGTGCCTTGAATAGTATTAATATATCCATTGACTTGAGCTGTCGTCAGTTTGCGATTCCATGAGGCCTTTTCAAAGTACTCAGAAAATGGGGAGTCATGAAATCCATTTGTTCTATTCATTGCTAAGATGCTTTTCTCTATAAAGAGACTTCCTAACGAAAATACTTTGTAGATTTCTTTACTCCAAGTGGTGCATGGAAAATTAATATTTTCAATTATCAAATAAAATTCCCTTTTTTCGGCGTAGATTTCATCCATCCAGCTGTTAACACATTCTATAAATCCGAATTGACTAATCTTTTCGTTTCCATTTTCCAACTTGCGAATACGGCATATAGTGTCTGCTAAACACTATATATTCTCTGCCAAATATGAATACATATCACTTTTCTGAGCAAGTGCAGAGTCATTATCATTTTTATTCCCACCTAACAAATTAGGGATAAAAAAGTTAATAATCTTTACATGCTATCAGGTCACAAGTTAATAATCTTTTAAAGAACATGTTAAATTAATTTATTGGTATGAATAGTAGTCAAAGAAGTATGTTAAAGTTAGTAATCTTTAAAATAATATGTTAAAATCATTCGTACAAATTAGTCAGAGAAGTAGCATAAACACCGCGATGCAATTAATACTTTCAATCTCAAGGTCTCTATTATGGAAATTTGCATCGGTCAATATACACTTGGCATAATATAATCTCCCAACTCATTTCTTTACAAATGCACCTTTAATCACCACCAAAAGGTGTGGACATGATCTTTACCCTAGAAAACTATTCACCGACAGGCAAATTGACGTCAGAAATACTGAGGAATTCTAGTTTCCTTCGGGTTCATGCCATGTTGTATCCTTCAACTGTAACTCGATTTCTAAGCTGTAATTTGTGACATAATAGTCCTTAAACTATGAAACCCTTCTTACTTAATTACAATGGTTAATACAATGCCCGTGACTAGACAAGTATGAAGCAACCATAACAGAAAAAAAATCCAAAATTAGAGAAAAGAAAGAAGTTTCGCGACCACCACCAGTTTACAAGTCACCTCCACCACCTCCTCCAGTTTACAAGTCACCTCCACCACCTTACCATTATTCCTCACCACCACCTCCAGTGCATTCACCCCCACCACCACCAGTTTACAAGTCTCCGCCACCACCTTACCATTATTCCTCACCACCACCTCCTGTGCATGCACCTCCACCACCAATTTACAAGTCACCTCCTCCAGTTTACAAGTCTCCACCACCACCTTACGATTATTCCTCACCACCACCTCCAGTGCATTCACCCCCACCACCACCAATTTATAAGTCTCCCCCACCGCCTCCCCCAGTATATAAGTCACCACCACCACCTCCTCCAGTATACAAATCACCTCCACCACCTCCTCCAGTTGACAAATCTCCACCACCACCAATTTATAAATACAAGTCTCCTCCACTACCTCCTCCAGTGTACAAGTCATCACCACCACCTGCTTACAAGTCTCCACCTCCTCCAGTTTACAGTTCCCCACCACCACCAATCTACAAGTCTCCACCTCCACCCTACCATTACTACTACAATTCTCCTCCTCCTCCTCGTCACTACTAAGCAATTGTATCCAAGTTTTTGAGGTAATAACGCTTAACCAATAAATTAACTTTCGCATGATAAACCTTATCTCTATCAAGACAAACTGCCATGTGTATCATGCCAAATACGTACACCTAGATCCATGAAAATGAATGGTGAGGAGGGCCATTTAGGCTCGGAGCGCCCTAGGCCTAGTTCCCCACCATTTCCTGAAGTGCCGCCTCGGGTATTATCCTGGAAGGCGATCGCGGCCCATTTACCACCTCGGCTACAATGTCAGGTCGTAACACCGAGGTGGACATTGAATGACAACTACGAAAAGGGGAGATGTGATCTCTGACACCTGAGCAAAGGCTGCTCTGACCCGCCGCCTGAATCTGACAGAATGTCCCATCACGTCTCTTCATGGAGACCGGTCAAGTCCACCTGATCCACTGACTATCTCAGATCTTTTGGGACCCGTGCAAACATCTCCTCTCTCCTATCAGTCCCCTATAAATACACGATACTTCTACTGAAAAAGGAGATGACCAATTTCTGGTAAAACACACTCCACTCATTATTTACTTCTCTATATCCGAACTGACTTAAGCTTCGGAGTTATACCGGGGGATCCAGCCCCTTTCTTATCCAAGCAGGTGACTTCGTCCAAGAGAGTTGCCCAAGGTAAAGATATTCTTCCAATTGAGGTGACTCACTCCTGCGGGTCGAAAATCACCTCTTCAATTGGCGCCGTCTGTGGGAACCGCAAAGATATTAGAAGATGAAGCCTGCGCGTTCTAGAAGCAGAAAAGCTCTCACTATCGAGGCTGGGCAAAGCAATGCAGCTCAACAAGAAAATATTTCTGAAGGGCAGGAGTCCCCAAGGACTCAGCCCGCAAACGAAAAAGCCATAACCCGTATGGCCGAGTTTGTGACCGAGAACCCCAACATCTTTGAAGAGTTGGGAAGATACCTGAAGAGGCAAGGCAAACAAAAGGCCGAGTCCTCTAAAAGGATGTCAGATGGGTCTCTTGAGGACTCATCTGAGGAGGAGTCGGATGGAAGGCACTTAAGCCGAAGTGCCTCAAAGCGAGCATTTTCTAAGGCCACTTCTAAGGTAGCCTCCCTGACCAAGGCGTTTTCCCGAGGGCTCTTGGGCCGACGACCCGAGGAAGAACCTCGGCCCTTGGGAATACCCGGGGTGGACTGCATGAGGGCTCCACCGTTCACGGATGATATAAACGAGGAAAGGCTTCCTCCCAATTTTAAGCTCCCCGCAGTACAATCTTACGATGGCCGAGGTGATCCCGAGAATCACATCCATACCTTCATCTCGGCCTTCCAAATATACTGCATCCCAGACCCTGTCATATGTCGGGCCTTTCCAGTATTCCTCAGAGGAACTGCTCGAAAATGGTTCTGAGCTCTAGAACCTAGGAGCATTTCGACCCTGGGTGAATTAGTGGAGAAGTTTCTCCACCGATTTGTCTCCTCCCGACCTACGACTAGGACCTCGGCTTACCTGCTCACCGTGCAGCAGAACCCGGGAGAGTCACTCCGGTCGTACGTCCGGAGGTTCCATGAGGAAAGCGTTCAGATACCTGACCCCAATGAGCAGGTAACCCTCGCTGCCTTTACCCATGGACTCGTTGCCGGGGAGTTCAATACGGGGATCCATAAAAAATACCCCCGCACACTGCATGAATTGTGGTTGAAGGTTGAAAAGGGCATACAGGCCGAAGACCTCCATCGCATGAAGAAAGAGGTCCAAGCCACCCGTCCAAGGGCTGAGCCCAGAAAGGGAAAAGACGCTGGCCGAACTGAAGTAGGGTCGGGAAGTGGCTTCCGAAGTCCTGGCCGAGACCGCCGCAGCGTGTTCGACAGGATATCCAAGGGGAAGTCACCTATTCCCGAGTCCGAGTTGACTCCTTTAAATACTACCCGATCTCACGTGTTGTCCGTGATGGAACAAAACAACCTCGGCAAGGGCCCGCCGAGGATGTTTGGAAGCAGAGACAAGAGGAACTCGAACCTCTACTGCTTGTATCATCGTGACATTGGTCACGAAACTGAGGATTGCAACGATCTCAAGAAGGAGATCGAGAACCTCATTAGACGGGGACACTTGAAACAGTTCATCCGCAGAGGTGGAGGTCACCAACGTGACGAAAACCGGCATGACAAATGAGGTGACCAACGCCGAGATGAGCGGCGGAGCTCCAGAAGCAGTTGCCGACCTCCTGAGGATCCCAGGGAGACGAAAAGGCCTCCCCCAGACGGATCTTCGGGACATGGGCCAACCATTGCCCGGGTCATTAACACCATTGCCGGAGGTCCGACGGGAGGGGACAGTCAGAACTCCCGGAAGAGAACCTATAAGCAGGCTAACCCGGATCAGGCCGAGTCGAGTTCTCGCCTGTCCGAGGTGATCACCTACGGGCTCAGTGATCCCATCCCAGCTGCATCCAGCAGTCATGAAACCTTGGTGATTGAAGTCCTCACCAATAACTACATTGTGAAAAGGTCTACATAGACCCGGGAAGTTCAGTTGACGTCATGTACCTCCGTACCTTTGAGAGCCTTAAAATGGCTAAGGGGTGCATGACCCCGCTGAGAACCCCTCTTGTAGGGTTCGGGGGACACGTGGTGCACCCCGAAGGGATGGTGACTCTGACAGTGACCATAGGGCATCACTCTCGCTGTAGAACCGTCCCTGTCAATTTTGTGGTGGTTAAGGCTGACTCCCCATACAACCTACTTTTAGGTCGGCCTACGCTCAATGCCTTGCGGGCGGTCTACTCCACCTACCACCTGAGCTTCAAGTTTCCTACCCCAGCAGGGGTGGCCGAGGTCAGCAGCGACGTCTGTGCTGTCCGGGAGTGCTACCTCGCCACCCTACAAGCAGCCTCCCCGTCTACCTCCGGTGCGAGGTCCGAGAAGAGGTCAAATATCCTCTCAATAGATAGCATCGATCCTCAGTGAGCTGAGAAGGTCCCGAGGCTGGAGACTGGGGATGAGGTGGAAGAGATTCCCCTGGACCCCACGAAACCTGATCAGACAGTTCGCGTTGGTACCCGATTGCCCGGTCCTATCCGAAGAGGTATGATGGACCTCCTCAGGGAATACCGGGACGTCTTTGCTTGGGCCGCCGAAGAGGTCCAAGGAGTCCCGCACCATCTCATGATGCATGACTGAACGTCGACCCCCAAGTCCGTCCGGTCAAACAGAAGAGAAGGCACATCGGCCCTGAGCGCAGCCAAGCTGTTGGTGAGGAAGTGGACAAGCTTTTACCCGCTAAAATAATCCGAAAAGTCCAATACCCGATCTGGTTGTCTAACTCGGTCATGGTCAAGAAGGATACGGGGGCTTGGAGAATGTGCGTCGATTTTACCGACCTCAACAAAGCCTGCTCCAAGGATTGCTACCCCTTGCCCAAAGTCGATACTTTGGTAGACTCAGCAATGGGCTACGAGATCCTCTGTTTCTGGGATGCATTCAAAGGCTATCACCAAATTGGGATGAGTCAAGAAAACCAGGAGAAAACGGCCTTCTACACCGACCGCGGCACGTACTGTTATACTACCATGCCATTCGGGTTGAAGAATGCCGGAGCCACTTATCAACGCTTGGTCAACCAAGCATTCAAGTCTCAAATCGGCCGGAATGTTGAGGCCTATGTAGATGACATCCTCCTCAAAAGCCAGACGAACTCCACCTTCCTGGCCGACTTGAAGGAGGTCCTTGACATCCTGCGGAAGGTGAAAATGATGCTGAACCCCAAGAAATGTGTTTTTGGGGTCACCTCGGGGAAATTTCTAGGTTACCTCGTCTCAAGGCGAGGTATCGAAGCAAATCCGGATAAGGTGCGAGCCATCCAGGAGATGTCTCCACCCCGGTGCGTCCGCGATGTCCAAAGGCTGACAGGGCGATTAGCCGCCCTGAATCGGTTCTTATCGCAGTCGGCAGCTAAAGCACTGCCCTTTTTCAAAGTGTTGAAGAAAGCTGACCATTTCTCCTGGACGGAAGAGTGTCAACAGGCGTTTGAGCAGTTGAAGGATTACCTTCACTACCTTCCAACGCTCACCTCACCTCGTCCGGGGGACAAATTAATCTTATACCTTTCTGCTGCGGCCGAAGCGGTGAGTGCCGTGCTGATAAGGAAGGAAGGGGTCCAAATGCCCGTCTACTACGTTAGCCGAGTCCTCCGAGGTCCAGAGACCAGGTACACACAAGCAGAGAAACTTGTGCTAGCCCTGATCCACGCCGCCCGCAGACTCAAGCCCTACTTCCTAGCTCACCACGTCTGCTTGAGGACTGATCAACCACTTCGGCAGATTTTGACACGACCAGAGGTTTCGGGACGTCTTACCAAATGGGCCATTGAGCTGGGGGAGTACGACCTAACTTATGAGCCTCGCACAGCGATCAAGGCCCAGGCTCTCGCAGACTTCGTAGCCGAGCTCACCTTTGACGAGGTGCAAGGATCCGTCCCGGCTGCCACATCGGCCACAGTTGATGTGGCCACCACTGGGCTCCAGCGGTGGATCCTACACGTGGACGGTTCGTCAACAGTGAGGGTAGTGGAGCAGGCTTGCTCCTCGAAGACCCCCAAGGAGAAATATGCTAATATGCCTTAAGATTTGACTTCGCTGCTTCAAACAATGAAGCTGAATACGAAGCCGTCATTGCTGGACTGCAGCTAGCTCGCAAGCTCGGGGCCGCACACATCTTGGTTTATAGTGATTCCCAACTCGTCGTGTGCCAGATATTAGGTGAGTACGAAGCCAGGGACGAGGTGATGCATCGTTACCTCTCCAAGGTCCTCCAGTT